CATCTCGTGCGAAACACTGGGACAGTATCGGGCTTCAGGGATAATGAAGCTTGCACTTTGGTGCACTTAACGAGGCCTTCCCGAAAGACTGGTGCATACTTCTCTCGCATGCGTTCGATGGCCACTGTTTTGGGGGCTGCTAGTTTGTGTATCTGTAGAGTTGCACACATCTGCTTTATGGAAACAAGCAGATGGAAACGCTCAATCCAGTCTAGACCCAGGAGAATTAAATTCTGATGGCTCGTGACGAGAAGCGATCCCTATGCGGTAAAGTTCGCATAGCGACACTCACATTCAACCTGACCAAGCAATTTCCATTCCGTACCTAATTCAGTCTTCGCTTGCTGACTAGTAGGTTTGATATAGAGGGACCCGACAATCCTCCACAGCCTTTTTGATATGACCGTGATGTCTGAGGCGGTATCAATCTGCAAGCGCGCCTGTCTTCCATTGATGCTGATGGTGATGTACTTTCTTCTATCTCGGACATCAGTAAAATTGGCGTTCACTCTAGTTGCAAAATGGCCGTAGGTCTTCTTCGATTATCGTGAACTGGCCGGAACGGTGGTTTGGATCCGTAGTGGGTTTCTTTGTACCCACGTCAACGACACTTCTGGCATGTATGCTTGTTGAATGGAAGCTATCTAACAAAATGCCAGTCAGACAACATGATGATGGTGGCTTACCATGTGGGAGCTTCTTGTGATCTGCAGCTGGAAATCTGTTGGACTGCGAAATCATTGTAATGCGTCTTCTTCTGGATCATAGCTGCATCGTGTTTCAAATTAATGATTCTCTGGGCCACTGCAATGACAACCTGCAGTGTGACAACCGGTCTCGCTCCAGAAGCCCCAATATTCTGGTCCGAATCTCCGCATCCTTAAAAGACTGCAGACCAAAACCAAACACGCAAAATGATTTTCAGTAAGTGATTATAGCTTGAATTTTGACATTCGCTCCACTGTTGAGGCAAGAGCAATGAGACTGTCGCTGTCCATTTGCACAGCTGCAGACAATTGTACCGATCGTTGGAAAGCAATACCAGATTTCCAAACGTTTAAGAGTCACGAAACTGTTTCCTCAAAATTAAAAGCTTGTGCGGTCGTGGGCAAAATGTAATTGGCGCACGTAAAAGTAGCGCGTCTGAGCTCTTCAGAAGCTCAGCTAGGCGGTAATTGTGGGCTTAACTCCGAACGGACTGACAACGGTGAGCGTCTGCTGCAACTGTGTGCAGAGCATCAGTTGTTTCTTAGCAGCACTGCTTTCAGACAGAGTGGGCGCCGAAGTGCCACTAGGCGTCCTCCTGTAGCTGGCCAACGATGGATCCAAATTGACCACATAGCCATAAGTTACAGATGGCGTGGTTCCATCCTGGATTGTCGCTCGTACTGGAGTACCTGTGTCGACTCTGATCATGCCTTGGTACGCTGTCGTTTCTCCGGGAGGCGCACAAAGCGTCCCCTACGACTTGCAACGAAGAAATTGTCTCAGTCCTCGATCAGACAAGCCTATCAAGAAACACTGCATACCGAACTTTCGCTGTCTTGTCCTAATGACACTGAGCTTCAGTGGAATAGAATCTCGGCAGTCATGCACGACGCAGGAGCATCTGCTTGTGGTACTATCTATCGTCACCGCACCAGTCACTGGATATCCGAGAGGTCGGTGAACCTGTTGGAATCAAGAAAACACCTCCTGGTTGGATCTGAGCACAATGTGACCAGACGGACTATTAGGCGCGAACTAAAGCAGAGCCCACGTGCTGGCAAAGAAGCCTGGTACACCAGTCGGGCACAAGAAATGGGGGGAGGCAGGAACAGTAGGCAGTTACCGCAAGCTCTTCCAGCTAATCCGCACCACTGGTCACAGAAAACCAGGCGTCAGTGAGACAATCAGAGACAGCGCAGATGCGCTGATACACAATAAGGAGCACCGTATGGCTCGTTGGGCGGAACACTTTCAAAATCAGTTCAAATGGCCTCAGCTCCTGGACCTCTTCCTACTCAGGTGATGCAGGACGAGCCATGGACGGTTAGTTTAGAGCCTCCGTCGGAGGCGGAGGTCCGAAACGCGATCACAGCCCTTAATCGTTTTCGTGCCGCTGGCACGGATTCCATCCCACCTGCACTATTTAAGGATGGAGGTGAGATCCTCTGCAAAGCACTGATTTCCTCATTCGAAGGTATCTGGAAGTGTCCCGGCTAATTGGAGCGAATCGATTATGATGGTAATATACAAGAAGGGTAGTCGCACAGACTATTCAAACCACAGGGGTATTGGGCTAACGCCAGTTGTGACAAAATTACTGGCCTCGATTCTCGTTCGCCGCCTCACTGCGGAACGGGAATCTTGGCTTAGGGAAGAGCAGGCCGGTTCCCGCCCAGGATGTGGCTGTATAGACCATATATTCACTTTGCGGCAGGTGCTAGAGCAGCGCCACGCATACCGCAGTACGACAATAGCTGTGTTCCCCGATTTCAAGAGTGCGTTCGACTCAGTCGACCGATCGATTCTGTCCGAAATACTTGCGAGGAAAGGTGTTCACACGAAATATGTGAACATCCTTCGTGCTCTATACTCGAACACTAGAGGCCGTGTCAGGGTCTACGGTGTCCTATCGGATAGCTTTCCAACCACAAGTGGCGTTCATCAGGGTCGTCCGATTTCCTCATTTTTGTTCAATTTCGTCGTGGATTCTATCATGGAGTGTTCCCATGCAGAACCTCATGATGCATGCGTTGAAGTGCTGCCTGGTGAAAGGTTAGTTTAGCTACATTATGCGAACGATATCGTCTTGCTTTTTGACAATGTTTCGGCGGCCCAATCAACCCTGAATAGCCTATCCAGAGTGGTCCCATTATTTGGTATGCACTTCGCAACTTAAAAATACAAAGTGTTACTGCAGGACCACCAGTCACTTGATGACCCCTTGACGCTTGTTAACGAGGAACTCGAGGTGGTTGATCATTTCACTTAGCTTGGCAGCTGCATCAGCAATAATGGGCGCATAGAAACTGACGTCAGCTCACACATTGCAAAAGTCAGAGCTACCTTCTTGAACCTACGGCATCTCCGGCGACAGAATGGAGTTTCCCACCGTCTGAAAGGCCGGGCATACAATGCAACAATGAGGGCCGTTCTGCTCTATGGTAGTGAGACGGCTCCTTCGGTCTGAGGCGGCTTCAAGTCGTTGATCATCGTTGTCTGCGAAGCATTGCTGGAGACGGATGGCACCAGCGTGTCCGCAACGACGATGTGCGTAGGCGAGTAGTAGGTGGTGATAATCATGCTAGGTCCCCAGAACAACAGATAGCACTGAATAAGTTACGTTGGCTCGGGCACGTGCTACGTATGCCTGGTCACCGCTTACCTAGGAGGGCCTTGTTTAGTCTGCCAGGTGTAGGGTGGCGCAAGGCTCGAGGTGGACAGAAGTTGACTTGGCAGCGGGAAATGAAGTCACTGACGACCAAACTGGGTGCCGTTGGTCCGCCTCGCCTTCCGGGCTAGAGTCGACGTGACTCGCCTTGTGCTTGGCTCGCGACTTTACAGGACATGGCTCGCAGTAGACACCAGTGGCGCGTCTGCTGCCGTCTCCTAATCGGATTGCCTGTTTAAAGTGTGTTTGGTGCTGAGTTATCTGCAGGGTAATGGCTGATTATAATGCGTGGCAGTGAAAGCAGCAAGGAAGCTGTCTCACCGATGCCGTCTTATCTTTGCCCGATAACCAGTTGTTTGTGACGGCATGTGGTCTACACAAGGTGTAGGCGTCTTGACCCTGAATGTTTGCTTAGGGCATTAAGGTTTTCATGTAAGTCCCCCTTCTCTCCCTCTTATTCTTTATTTCATAGGTCCTCATGGTTGTATGGCAGCGAAGCATCAGTTCAAATGGTTGATGTACTGCTGGTGTTGACTGATTGATTTTGAACGAAACATGGTGAAAAACGTAGCAGCTCTCCTCCCCCTCTCCCGACAACTCGCATTTTCCGTATCACAGTGAGGCGGTGAACTCGAATTGTGAACAGTATATTTGCCACCATGGATAAAGCAAAGACTGCACACACTCATTACGATGAGTAGGAAATCTTATCCACTTTCATCGGTTGCAAAAAGATAAATCCATTCGTTTAAGACCTCCGTATCAACCCTGAACGGCCCAAGCAAAACTAGCACGACAAAGAGGGCTGAGGGATGTAACCAGATTTCTGTTTCTAGTTTCATATGAGGTTTGTGAATTGGCTAATGATGACTCAGCCCGTGATAAGTGAGATAGAAGGCTTGGAAGTAGATGATCAGCTGAAATATTCCTCATATATCCAGTCCAGTGGGCAAAGCAGCATTACAGGTGGTGAATGAGGGATCAGTGCTACTTATCATAGGCTCAATGTTTATCTATTCTGACGCAAGCATACTAGATGAATCGGGAAGACGTGAAGCCACTCACCGCTTCTGGTTTTCTCAATGCTTACGTTACTTTACTGCGGCTAGCTCCTGCGACAGGATGAGCCGGCTTCATGAATGTTGCGGACTGCAGCTGCCAAGCGCGGCGGTCAGCTGCGAGCTCCACGCAGATACTAATGTAATGATTTCTTCAGTGACGAGCCCCATGCACAATCTGAAGTCAAAGATCGACATCTGATTTCACTACAGCGAATCACGTTTTTAATTGTCCTTCACAGTGAGGACACCAAACCTGGCCAGGCGAGGGCGAAACCACAGCCCTAGTGAAGTCGGTGTCTGATCTGCGGAGAACTTGACCGAAGCAATAGTCTGCGGTGTGGGATGAATGCTGAGAGTTTCGGGAGACCTTAACAGTGCTTACGAACTTCGTCATTAGTAATACGCTTATGCCAATGCGTTTGAACGATAAGCCTTAGACACCGATGGTTAAAGATTTCCAGGTGATTTCGGATCGCAGCGGCTGTTTCGCGACCATGGGGTAAAGTGGCTAGAATGGTTGCTCAGAATACGCGGGTTTTCATTCGCAGATAATTAACACTTACCCTGCGGAAGGTTCAGCTTTAGACCTGTACGTGACTGGGCGGGGAAAACGCCAGAGGGAGCGAAAGGCAATGCCATCCTTTTTGGTGTTATGCGAAAATTCTGAGAACGGTTATCTTTCGCAAACGCTGATAGAAAGCTAAAAAGCTTCAGAAAAAATTAACCGGAGGAGAACATACAGTTTGGATTATCTGTGACTGATGCTCATGTCGCTCACGCAGAGACTGGACCTCGTGGATTAGCAGTTGGTTTTCGGACTGTAAAAGAGCAAGTTGTTTGGCCATTGTCTCTTGATTTTGACGTAACCGATGAACAACGTTTGACAAACGTACAAAGTCTGCACAGTTGATCAAGCGCTGGGATATATTAGCACTAGCTGTTTGGCTCGGGAGTTGTGGAGAGTTTGATACAAGCGAAGGGACTCCAGCATTGTTAAACAAGCGGCTATTAAAGTACGGGAAGCTGTGACTCGTAGGCCTTCGCTGTATTTTTGAAATAAGGTGAGGTCTATGCCGAAGGAAGCACGGATGCTTAAACTCCATGTCTTCCGTATCAGATTTCAAAGTCAAGCACGGATCAACGCGGTTGACCTTCCGAAATCCATCTGCTAAGGTAAGACTTTAGAAGAAACAAGCATACACATATTTAACTGTCTAATGAAACTAGATAGATTGTTGTGCTTGAAAAAGAGAGGGAGTACTTCCTTGGCAAGCCGATTGCCATTGCATATATGGAAACTAGTACCACCCTGAAATTTTGTCATGTAATCGAAGGCAACACACCGGGTCCCAGTAAATAAGGTCGTTCGTTTCTTCATCATCAACCAACAGTCGTAATTTACTTAGAAAGGCTGGTACTGTCGGAGGCCCAAACTCGATATGTGATACATCTAACGTCATAATGAGTAAACACGTCAAATCGCCGGCAGCGGTGAAACACAAGGTCACCGATCACAGGACTGACGGTAGCGTTCCACCAGTCAGCAGCGCGAATATTAAAAACAAATCTTTGGATCATTGAAATGTAGAGAGCAGGAGGAAAAATCCTTTGTCAACTCCATAGCCTCCCGTTCGTCACAAGGATCATCGCAAGGCTCTGTGAGTACTACGCGGTAACTCGATTTTTTGGCGTGCCATACTGATCGAGCTTTTCAGCTGAAATAACGTGGAAAACAGTGTTTGAATAAACACTTGAAACGAAATTTGACTATTGTCAAATTTTCTCTGATCCAAGAAATCTTGGATCGATTAAATTGGTACTGGCCCAAGCGTCTTTGACGCTTAATGGTAATTTTTCCGGTTGTTCCCAGGTTTAATCCCGTTTTACACACTGTTTTTGCCTTTTTATTGCGGTCGTTTTCCTATTGTATACGCGTTGTTGTTCTAATCTGTTTTCCACATGAACATGGCTGTCTCGCTAAACACCGAGACGGATGGACCTATGGGGTCCTCGTTTGATGAGTCTACTGCAGATTGCGGACACGTTAACTGTTCAGACCCAGTAACAGATGCATCTGGTGGTATGCAGTGTGACGTCTGCTGCCGCTGGTATCACGAAAGCTGTACCGGCCTACAAGCTGACCAGTACCAAATGCTATCATCAAGCGTCCACTTTCTTTTCAGCTGCGCTGAATGCTGCGCTAAAAGATCGCGCCCGGATGTCACCGGTGCTAAACTTTCAGCGTTGGCTTCAAGGTTGGCAGATGTTGAGTTGGCGATAGCTAAACTCGCCTCTATCGCGTCGCTCGATACGAAAATGGATTTAATTTTAAAATCCCTAAATATTTCGTTTGAAGACACAGCAATAGCCGGCAACATTGCTGACGATCCATCCACTGGAGTCTGTCACTCGATCATAAAGTCGCACATCCTACCGGCCAATCCAGGTAGCATTGCTGGCGGTCCTCATGATCCGATCAAAGTGAAGAAAAATAGGGTGCGGAAATACCAAAAGCCCTCTGCTAAACCCAGAGAAATAGTTGCCACGGCATCGAAAGAGATGCCGTCTGTGACAGTCGCAAAGTCGTCTGAAGCTTGCACACAGAACTTTCCACAGACGCTGACTGTCTCGGCCGCCAGTGAACCAGCCTGTTCTGACGAAATGCTGGTAACTGCTCAATACAATACAAAGTCAACGGCCCCTGCTCTAGTGAGCCAAAAGAAGAAGCGGACAAGATCTGCTCGTAAAACTTCGAAGGGGCTTGAAGACCCTGGAACCAGTAAGACGCCGGCAATAGAGCGGAAAACCTACGCTACCGTTGCTTCGGCGTCGTTTGGGAAGCCAGCGACAGTCCCACCGCCAGTGGTGAAAACAGCTGGTATAGGTGTCGATTCCAAGGAACGTGGGGTAAACACTCCGCGTCGTGCCGACACTTTCACGGATAGTAGCGTTATTTTCCGTAATTTTACTGAATCTGCGGCCATTCTCCCAAGGGAATGCACTTGGATGACACCAAGTGGCTGAAACTGTGTGTCAGCATGCTGCTTCCGCCTAGATTCCCTGGTGTCACTGTCAGAAAGCTGACCAGATTGGGGAACGTTCCTGTCGCTACGCCAAATCCACGACCCCGACTACTTCGCGTAGTCCTTTCTACCCCGGAGGAACGCAAATCGTTACTGCGATTTGCATTCAAACTTAAGGGTAGTAGTGTCAGCGTTCAGCCGGACCTCCCACTGGCACATAGATTGAAGTTAAAGGAGGCTATCAAAGACCTCAAAACTAGGCGGGCGGCTGGTGAACAAGGCCTCCGTCTGGTGGGCTTTCAGGTGGGCAGCCGGAAATTACTTTCCGCCCTATCAGAACAAATCCTGATGGCGCACGACCCAGGGATGGTCGTGCCGACTTCCTTGAGGTGGTACTTAGCAACGTGCGTAGCCTAAGGAACAAGGTGCACGAGTTGGGTCTACTTGTAGACAAATCCCGTCCCGACATACTTGCTTTCATTGAGACGTGGTTGTCTCCGGATATCACGGACGGTGAGGTATATTTACCTGGCTACGCGCTGCTTAGAACTGATCGCTCCGTTGGTCGCCAAGGCGGAGGCGTTGTACTGTATGTGAGCTGTAACTTAGATGTGTTGAGGACTTGCACATTTCAGTCATCGGCTCAGACTGTTGAAGCCCTATCGGCTGTTTTGTGCACTTCCTCTACCCAGTTTACAGTTATAGTGATATACAGAAGTCCTGGAAGTTCCTCCAGGGGGATACTTGACTTTATTCGCACTCAGCCTTCGAATAAGTGTTTAGTTCTATAAATAAATAAATAAATAAATAAACTTTTATTCTCGACAAGGCGAGGCACACCTTTACAGGCATGATCATTCTTAGCTAACATAGTGTGATAAAAAGTGTACAAAAAGTACAAGTTTGGCATAACAGTGCATGTAAGTGTATGAGTGTATATACGTATGTAATTTTGTACGAATGCAGCTTGTGTTTTTGAATATGCCGGAGCATTTTTGACTGTTTGTCATCCGCATGAATGTGAGCATAATCGATTGATGTCTGTGGGTTAGGTAGCACTTTCCGGATATCCAGCGTGTATGGGTGTATATACGTATGTAATTTTGTACGAATGAAGCTTGTGTCTTTGAATATGCCGGAGCATTTTTGACTGTTTGTCATCCTCAGGAATGTGAGCATAATCGATTGATGTCTGTGGGTTAGATAGCACTTTCCGGATATCCACGGGCCAGTGACTTTATTTTGTGGCGAGTCACATCCGCCACGTCGCAGTGTTGTTAAACAGACATTTGTGGCTTTTTATAGGGAGAACGCTTGCCAGGCGAAAACCTACCACGTCCTGGAACACTGCCGCCGAACTATTTGCAGGAACGGGTTAAACCCGAACCACCCAGCTGGCACCACGAGGAGGTTGTTCGGCTAGCCAGCCGGAAGTCTGTTGGGCCGATCTTACTTGCAATCCGGCATTAGGAACATTCGGTGCAGACTTCCTTGAACTGACTCTCCTAGTGCCTTTGCACCAGTTCGTTGACTTTCCCACTAGGTACATGGACAACCAAATGCCATCTACTTTGGATTTGGTTTTCGCTAAGTCCCTGGACTTCGTGACTGACGTTTCATGCGGTGCACCTCTAGGGTCCAGCGATCAAGCATGCATATCCTTTCGATGTGCTCTTTCAAGGCACCAAGAGACCGCTGTTGAATTACTTCCGAATATTTGGCGGGCGGACTTTAGTGCAATGCGAACTAAGGCTTCAGTGCTGAACTGTGAGATCTCGATGGCTGACTCTGTCCAGTTAGCCTGGGATAAATTTAAGGCATACCTTACGGAGGTTTCCGCACCCTATATTCCACTCATTAGGAAAAGAGGGTTAAGGGCACAGCCTCCATGGATAGATACCACAGGCATGTACCTACTCAAGAAACGGTATAAATGCTGGCGAGCCTACCAAGCAGCTCCATCAGCCAGTACCTATGATAGTTATCGAGAGAATAGAAATAAATGTAAGCAACATCTCAGAACTGCTCGTCTCCAATACGAGCAGGGTTTAGCGGACTCGGCCGCAGCTAATCCCAAGAAGTTTTTTGCTTACGTTAAAAGACGCAGCGGGGCAAAATTGTCTATACCAGCTTTATTGCGAGCAGACGGGACCCCTGCGCAAACTGACTATGACAAGGCTTGTATACTGAGTGATCAGTATACTGCGGTCTTTGCTCGGGAGACCTCTTTACCGCAGGTTGAATTGGTTTCAAGAGTTCCAGAGGATTCTTGCTTAGCTGAATTTAGCATAACGGAGACTCAGGTCTTCGAGCTACTGCAAGGCATTAATCCCTCTAAAGCTTCCGGTCCTGATTCAATTCATCCGAAGCTGTTGCATGAACTGGCCGCTGAGCTGAGTGGTCCGCTCACGTGCGTATTTTCAATATCGCTGGATAGCTGCAGCCTACCTTCGGAATGGAAGGAGGCAATGATCTCACCGATTTTTAAGGGCGGTGACAGCGCTCTACCCGCGAACTACCGGCCTGTCAGTTTGACAAGCGTAGTAGTCAAGAAGCTGATAAGAGATTCAGTGGAGAACCACCTGAATCGATTCAACCTTCTCAGTGTTGCACAACATGGATTCCGCAAAGGATTTTCATGTCAGACTAATTTACTTGTAGCTCGTGAAAGCTGGGCCGAAGCGGTAGACAGTGGCCACGCTGTAGACGTGCTATTCGTAGATTTTTCGAAAGCTTTTGACACTGTTCCACATCTTCGGCTCTCACTAAAGTTGAGATCTTACGGGATATCTGGTCGCGCCCTTCAATGGGTGTCTGCCTTCCTTGAGGGGGAGGGAACAGTGCGTACGGGTGGGGCGTAGCCTTTCGCTCAGGCAAGCTGTCCTTAGTGGCGTTCCGCAGGGCTCGGTATTGGGGCCATTGTTGTTCGCGATCTATGTAAATGACTTGCCGGGAGAGCTAGGGGTATCATCATTAATGTTTGCTGACGACCTTAAGCTCTGGAATATTGTGGATATCTCGGCGGGTCCTGAGGCAATTCAGCGTGCCTTGGATAGACTCTGGGAATGGTCTATCTTATGGTTGATGCCCATAAATAGGGCCAAGTGCTCTGTTCTCCGAATCGGAGCTGCTAATCCTCCCACCCGATATGTTCTCGACGGTGGTGAACTCCCTGTTGTCACTCAGCAGGTTGGTTTAGAAGTCGTACACGCATCAGCACTTCATTCTGGAGACAACTGGAAGAAGGCTGCTTGTCGAGGGTTTCGTATGATGTGGTTTATCCGCCGCTCTTTCGGAATCTTAACGGCCAAGTTGTTTGTGAAGCTATTTTCGGCATTCGTCCGACCCCACCTGGAATATTGTATTCAGGCTTGTCCACCATGTCTTAACCGAGACAAAATGGACTTGGAGAGGGTGTTACGAGTGGGCACTCGGTTAGTGCAGGGTCTACGGGGACAGACGTATCCTGAACGCTTGCTCAGTTTGGGGATGTACTCAATGCACTACCGAAGGATAAGAGGGGACCTGATTCTCACTTATCGTATTTTGACGGGTAAGATTGGCCCGGACTTGTCAGGGCTATTTAGTCCCGCTACGTTACCTAGTCTCCGCGGTCACCCACT